CCCCTGCATACGTTGTTCTACCAGTTCTCGGGAGCGGCAACGTTCAGGTGATTTATCCTCGTAACACAAATAATAACACGCGCAGTTCGCGCACCGAGATTAATGAACTAACTCATTTCGTCTGAAACTTATTTAGGTTTACAATCCAGCAGAAATTGACCAGTATATACGAAAGATTTCTTTGAGTTCTGTTGAGTCCCCCAAAGAGACGTAGTTAATGTGCGAGTGAGAGTATTTCGTCTATCAGGGAGATCCGAATCCTGAATGTAACCCTAAAATGGTCGGAACATACTGAGACCCTAAAATGCCACCAAAATTTGAATAGGAAACCCAGCAAGCATCCAGGCAAGTCAATCATTCAGTCAATTCGGCAAAATCCGACGAGCGTTAATGCACGCTAAAAGATGGACGACCAAATGTGATTAGCGTTCAGGCATCCCTTGGAAGCACGATCGACTTTGATGGGTGTTTAGTAAACGCCTATCAGTCTGCCTACATTAATGCCAGAAAGTGTTCTTGATATAGCTTGGAGCCGTTGTAACTTTTCCGCTAGCACGCACTCGCCTGTTTGGAATAAAGCTGTGGTGTACCCTTTCTGGCACTAGGCACAGGAGCGGGAAAGCAGTAACAGTAACATTCCTTTTATTTTACTCTGACAATTATCCAAAGACGATGGGTATCTTAAGTGTTCCACCATTTGGCGGCAAAAACCTGCTTGAATCGATTGCCAAGTTCTGTGTGTAAACGAATTAATCGGATTGCCGCCTGAGTTGGTGTTTTTGCTTGATACCAGCCCGTGATGTTTTGTATGCCGTAGGGTGTCAGTGGATTGCCCGAATGGAACACATTTCTTACGATAGAAGGAAATGCTATGACTGCTGCTCTCATAAAGTCACAAACAAAAGTTAACGGGACGGAGAATCCATGCTTCGTGGCTTGCCTATCGCCAATTCCTGGCAGTCAGTAGAGAATTTACGAACTCGCGAATGCCGACGCATTTTATAATAGTGTTATTTTGTGGCTGACTTCTGATACCTGGCTCCAAACAGCAATTAATTCGTTGCAGGGCAGAAGTTTTTGTATACTGTATTCCACATTTCACATAACAAATTCCGTCGCAGTCTGCAGTGAACCGAGAAGGACCGTCCAGTACGGAATGATCTTGTACGTTAGTTACAAAAGGAATATCCGTGGACCGCGAAACCGGTGTAACTGGATAATGATTCTGGACTAGATACATCTGGCTTGGATTTGATCCCTTCCCGTCCCATGCGCATGAACATCGACAATTTGATGAATCTGATACAACATGAGGTTGAAAATGTATTAAGAGAACAACTGCCCAAAACAGAAATTTCCAAAAGACTCCACACCAGTCTGATTTTTAGACAAACTTAGGCCCACCCAAAAACCTCATATAAATATACGATTAAGTTTGAAAGAGCTGTATGGGAACATCTTCAAAGTCGATGGGGCCAAGTTTCATGATGCGTCCCTTCACGGCTAAAATGATCACGAGAAACATTGAAATTTGAGCAGTGTGTTTGAGTCGACAGACGACACACAACTATTCTAACTGTGTTGGACGACTGGCCTATTTTCGTTCGTCCTGTGCACCTGTCGCGCACTGGTCCGTCAGATATGTGGTGGCGTCTTGATGGGTACACAAGGTCTGAGAATCCCGACGGTTTTACCTAAATGTTTATGGTTTTTACCAAAAAATTTTGGTCCGCTAGCTTCATGAAAAACCCAACCCGTTTCGCGACCATGGCAATGCAGGAAACGGAGCGGCTGCATTTCTTTTTATTTTAGCAATATCAGGCAGCAAGGGGCGTTTCCGTTAGGAACAGATGTTGTGGACGGATTCGGGTTTCAGCCTCGTATCCGAGTTTGCACAGCTCCATTATATGAGTTGTTTGCTGGGCTATCTCGGGGACATGAAGACAGATAGATAACGGGATCTCAGCTGGGCAGTCAGTCTAATCATGAAAGCGAATGATTCGCCGCGCATATGAAAGACTTAGTATCGGACATTTTGAACAGAACTTTGTACTAATGACTGAGAATGTTTTCAAACGTGCAGCAATGTGTGTTCACACAAGATTCCTCCTAAAGTCTACCAACAGGCACCAGCATTCTCGTAAAAACTGGAAATAATTCTAAACAGCGGAAATATTGTCAGTGAGGCACTCTGAATTTGAAGTGAAAAATTGGTCCGCGCGTAAATCTGGTATTTTTGAGAGGGGTTGGTGAGTATCGGTATATCTGAATTTTGGACATTTCAAAGCGTTACAATATAAATCCGCGCAAAGAATACTCGATTTTTTTCGGCTACGTAGCACACGAGCGCAACTCTGGGAACTCTACAAAAAGATACATAGTAAAAAAATGGCCGGTTTCGCCTGTCTAGAGCAACATCATGAAGTTGCAGTCGCAGCGTTTCCGTAAGCCTCATGTTCTACTTGAACCCGACAGATTTTGCCAAATGATCTCGCTTGTAAACGAATTCGGTCTCGATTTGGAACACAATTGAACCGCAAACGATCCCTCGCTTCCACTGGATGATCATCTAGAGCTGATGCGATCCAAGGTATAAAACGTTTCAGCAGCCATATGTGTAGTTCACTTTATGTAGCTAATGCTGCTTTGCCAATAGTGAGGTATTTGAAATGGAAACGAACGTCCATGATAAAATAGGATTCTGGTTGCAACGGCCGTCGATCATGAACGTGGAGAAAGATAAACCGATCGAAACTGTTACAGGAATTTTGAAATAATTCAGGCAACCTGGTTTGTTGATAATCCGCCGAAGTTCTATGAGGTAATCATCCGTACAGGGAAGTGTCTGGGTTGTTTTCGGTTCACCATCTTCCGCCGTTAGATCAAATCGTATGAAAACAGACGAACCAGTACAAGGCCCGTGCTTTTCATTGTACTTCCTCGGCACAGATTGGTTTTGCAGGTTCCAAAAAATATTGGAGGATTCTTGGAATCAACAATGGTATGCTTTCCGGACAGATATGACACTGATGAGGTGTTTTTGCCTGTTTGTCCTTCATCAATTCTAAATAGTAAATTGACTTGCAGAGTTCCTCCTCTAAGGAAACAGTGTTGCCCAGCACAGTACCGGTAGTCCAGAGGGCCAAACCCAATGAGTCACACGACGCAATGCCTGGGCATCCGTCGCCTTTCAAGCAAAGTACTTGCAGGTAGAATCAAACGAATTTTGGAAAAAAACAACTGGCTTTGTTGATCAAGCAGATGGATATATACCATTCTATAACGAATAACCGGAGGATAAGTCGACCGAGATTTGCAAGCGATTGTCAAAAATTTGAAACCAAGATAAACAATCAAAGTAAGACGAAAGTTTTCATATAAACTGACCCGAGTTCATTAGTCATGTGTATCATCTTGAGCGTGTCTTTCTGCAGCTTTATCGCTACAACTGTTCCAGCTATCTGTCGGTTGGCCATTGATTTGTCCGGTGAATTTTTGCTCGAAATTGTGCGTTGTTGAAAAACAAACCTAACGATTCCAGCCAGATTTGCTGACCAGATCATGCTTCAATATATTTCCTAGCAGCGCCGAACATACGGACGATTTGTAAACAGAGGAACACCAACATCACAGTCCCGTGACGCGTCCGACCACAACGTATCACCCTGTCGTGGTGATAGGTTTTTGCCGGCTGGAATTCAGTTCCTAGGGTGTTTATACATGCCAGCAATGGCAAAATTACAGCTAGAAAGGTTGTAAAACTGAACTCAATTGAACTGAACTTAAATGAGCCGAACTGAACTGAACTGAACTCAACTGAAATGTACTGAACCTAACTGGATTGAACTCAGGCAGGTTCATGCAGCTGCTGTCAATCTTGGTATATCCATATGCTCATTCCATAACACTTTGCATTGCTTAAAATTCCGACTTATCTACATCAACTTTCAGCGTCGATCAGTCGATCTATTGATAACGGGTTATGGCAGAAAATAGCTTGCAAGACGTGGAACTAATAAATATCATGTTGGGGCTTGAACGTCCAATTTTAGGAAAAGAACGAAGGTGCTACTGATGTGAGTACCACATTTGGCCCTAACGTTGATTAGCTGGACGGTTAACTAAGAGTAATCTTCAGACTGAGGCGTTTTTGAATAACAAACCTAACGAGTCCGGCCAGATTTTCTTGTCAAATCATGCTTCAGTACATTTCTTTGCAGTGTTGAACACAGGGATCATTCACAAACAAGGCAATTCCTCATCATGACTGTCCTGTGTCATTTCTAACATCAATCTATCAACTTTTCTTGGTGGTTGTATTATGCTGGTTGGAACTCGTTTCACAATGGGTTCAAAGTTAACTAAACTAAGCTAAACTAAAGTGAAATTGAACTGATCTGAACTTAACTGAACTTAACTCAACTGACATATACTGAGCTTAGTTGAATTGAAAACACGCCGTTTCATCCAGCGGCTCTCAGTCTTGTAATACCCATATGCTTACTCCATAACGCTTCAGATTTTTTAAAATTCCGATTTATCTACATCACATTCCACCTTCCATCACTCAGCTTAGTGATGACAGGTTATGATGGAAAATATCTAAAAAGATGTTGAACTAATGAAATCCAAGTTGCGGAATGAACTTCAAATTTAAGGAAACGAACGAAGGTGTTATTGATGTGAGCACCACATTGCCCCGAAATTTCACTTGACGGACGTTCAACTAAGGGCAATTTCCAGACTGAGGTTCGCCTTACGTGACGCTTTGAGTGAATGCATTTGCTAACAATATATGCATATTTTTGCACACGTTTGTTGCGTACATCACGAGGTCAACTTGCCTGTTGAATTGTGAAGCAGTGCGTCCGGAATTGATCGAATACTGCCTTGAAACACATGAGCTCATCCCTCTTGGACAAGCCCTTTAGCGTTGGCTTATGGTGGGTTGTCACATCTACGACGATGTCACGAAAAGTTTAGTTGACGAAGTGGCCAAGCTAAAAGGAGCGAGAATAGTTGTGTGAGGTTATAAATAGACTACAAAAGATTTGCTGCACATCTAAACGAATCCCGTTAGATATTTGTGTGACTTCAAGAAACGGCCTCTAAAATATTGGACTGATGGCGTTTACCTGCTGCCATTCATCCTCAATACCTAGTCCCGACCCACAAATGGACTCTTACTTAAGACAAACTTTTATCGTGCACTCAGTTCCTTTGTTGAGATCAACTGGATAGGAAAAATATAAATACAAGCCTAAAGTGCACGGTGCAGCCTTTACCAAGCGATTTCATGTGCTTTATCTGTTGGGGCCTCCAACAAGTGTCGAGACTTTGCTAACAAATGCGCCCGGCAAGATGGCTTTTCGTCTACAGCATTCGGCTGGAACCAAGAAAACAACTGAGCAACACTTATTGTTAAGACGAACTCCGTCATTAGATGTCATCATTTATTTTCAAGAGCATCGTCACAAATATAGACTACTCAGTATTAAGTAGAATCTACATAAAATCACTCGGTTGCCAGCGTAACGCACATTACTGAAGAAATTTATTGTTCTGTACATCAGTTTGTACTACGTAGAACATCACTAAATTTTTCATGGATTTCTCTGAATATCTGAAGATGAGCCTTAACTCTCATGTAGCACCTTGAGTTTAGCAGGTGATAATTTCTGTACTCTTCTCATCGTCAATGGAATACACCGTATTCCGTCGAATAGTGTAAGATGAAGTCGACAAATAGCTGCAATCGGTGAAATGCCTGACCGTTGGACTGATAGGTTTTCGACATCAGTTCGATTATCACTGATCTTGCTACAGACATTCGTCAGCCGCTCGATGTGTTTGATCGACGATTCGGTCTCTCCGCTGTGTTTATGTTGAATGGCCCCTATTCATCTAAAAAAGCGCCTAACTTTATGTCCGTCTGTTCGTTTGTCCGTGTATTTTTCTGCCTGCTTGTCTATCTGTCTGGTGTCTGTCTGTTTGTCTCTTTGTCTGTTTGTCTATCTGTCTGTTTGTAATGTCTGTTTATCTATCTATCTATCTATCTATCTATCTATCTATCTATCTATCTATCTATCTATCTATCTATCTATCTATCTATCTATCTATCTATCTATCTATCTATCTATCTATCTATCTATCTATCTATCTATCTATCTATCTATCTATCTATCTATCTATCTATCTATCTATCTATCTATCTATCTATCTATCTATCTATCTATCTATCTATCTATCTATCTATCTATCTATCTATCTATCTATCTATCTATCTATCTATCTATCTATCTATCTATCTATCTATCTATCTATCTATCTATCTATCTATCTATCTATCTATCTATCTATCTATCTATCTATCTATCTATCTATCTATCTATCTATCTTCTATCTATCTGTCCATCTATCTATCTATCTAACTATCTCTCTATCTATCAGTTTATTTATCTATTTAGAGATTTGTAGCAAACCACACGGAGAGGTTCATCAGATTATCCCTTCTTTCCATCAAAATATATTGTCATCGAGATTACTGAGTCAGCTATTAATTGGCAGCCTTCGCCGTTATTAACTGGATGGTAGGTGCTCCTGCCGCTGAGATGACAACTTATTAGACTGTCATTGTAATCTGAAGTGGTCACTTGGTTGTTTTAATAACCGACGGCTTAAGCAGCCAATAATCCAATGGACAATTCAAAATATCGAATATTGCGCCGCACACTTACTGCTATGTCCCTTTCTTTCCGGTGTACCCGTAGATCATAATGACCTTGGAATTATCCAGCTGGGAGACTTCCCATCGCCTGAAATAAGCAATAAACAGACACCTATCAGTTCATTATCAACCAGGATAGCGTCTTGTTCCATACAATGAAGAAGCGGCTTACCATGCGACCGTAAGTTCACAACCTAATACGCACGTCTTAGTGTTGCAAAATCCGGTGGATCAATGAACATCATCACCGAAACCGTCTCACAAACGTCAGAATATATCACTCGTGCCCACCGAATTGAAAGTGTGATAACCCGACTTTGCTCGTTCAGGTCCAAGGTACTCATCGCACCATCACGGAAAACCATATCACGTGGACACCAATTGCCCGCATCTCCGAATTTCAACTGTTCAGTTGGAAGTTTTAATCCCCATGTAAATCTATTCTTCCTCTGAGTTACTTGTGAATGATTCATATGGAATCGACTTCCCCTTGTACCGAAGCAATGAAACGTATGAATTATAAGGAACCCAAAGCCCTTGCTTGTTTATCCGAAAATAGATACGTGCTAGGCTTGGATATCTACATGTCTGGACTGGCAACCCTGCTGTACTCGGTCAACGGAACCTGAAGTTCTTAATCAAGTGTTTGCAACATTTGCCGTCATTTTTCTTAGTTAACCAAATACAACTGTCATCTCATTGTATACATTCATTTTCATAACAGTTTGCATTTTCACAAGTGACCCAAATTAATCACTCCCTGTCATTTTTTGACTCACCATTTCGCCGTATTTCATCGCGTGACTAAACACTGTACACCTTTTCACCTCCTCTTATTGCTCCTCCAGCGTACGCACTTTTATGTCTTTCTGCATGCATGCGGGAGATAATGACAAAAAGGGCGCCACATGAAGCGGACAGATCAGCTAAAGCAATTTTGAGACGAATCCGCTGTAGGCAAAATGTCGAAAACATCACAAGAGTAAAACAACCGAGGTATGCAAAGACACAAACTGCTGGTAAATTATTGAGCACTCCGCTGTTTCTGGACACAATGCATGCACATACAACACATCTTGAGGATATGATGCTCGATGGTTCTGATCAACACTACCACCATCATCATCCTCGTCATCATCAAAATCATCGCGAGCAACAACAGAGTAAAATACTGATGATTCACTGCCGTACAAGCATCATTAACTATTTGTGGTGGAAAAAGAAAGGATAATGGAACAGGAAGGAAATCCTAGGGCTAGCCTACATCCTACACCCAGAAAACCACACATTCGAGACCTAGTCAGATCAAATGGATAGAAACGCCGTTGGCATTTTGATACATTTTGAGAGATGTATTGAGGCGAAGGCGTTCGGGATATACACCAGCATCATCATCATCGTTATCATCATCAGCATTGCTGTCATCATCAACATCAACGTCATGAATGTCAACATCAGTGTCCATCATTGACGATTTCCTGCGTGAATTCAATATCCTTTCAAAGCCCTATTCATACTTAAAGAATCAAAATGGATGGGGAAATTATTTGGTGCTGGCCTACCAGAATTATTCCGATGCGTCTACAGCTCCAGACCACCAGTCAGGCGACGTGAACCGAAATGATAACAAGAAATCCAATAACATCGATTCAAGGACAGGCACGGTGGGAATCAGGTGGTCTCCATCGTAGAGCCCGAATTACACTGATAGAGCCCCGGACTTTTCCTAGTATATTTCATGCCCCCCTGCAGGATCGGAGGCAAAACTGGTTGGGGGATAGTGAGAAATTTTGGACATACAACCAATGGTTTGATTATTTTGTGGCCACCGGACTGCCTTGATCGCTGAATGCTGAGTACCACGGATTAGCCATCCACAACTGACAGGCTCATCTGCAAAACTAATGCGTGAACTTACATAATCCGAATCTAAAAGCCATTCATACGAGTATTCGTCCGCTAGACAAACATCGCTTTTCTTGTCCAAACAAAACATAGAGAAGGAATCTTCAGTTTCGTTGACTGCTGTTGTCACGTAGACTGCAGGTTTAGGTGTTGAGACAACAGATAGCATAAGTCAATAACAAAAATGTGTAAAATGGTGAGGGAAATTTTCGACGAACGGATCCTGTGACTCACAGAATTAACGAAGATTCATGATGTCTAAAACTAACCCACAACTCAGAAAGTCGCTGAAGTTTCATTGACAGATCATAATGGTTTTCGTGCCTCTTGCGTCGAATCACGTAGACGAAGTCCTTGACTTTCTCTAAGACTTAATCAAGACTTGAACCCAGATTGGGCGGAGCTTACCAAACACTCTCATGAACGAGACATTTATCTGGGTTTGGTTGGGTCAGCTTGTCAAAATCAGTTGAGCATGTGAATGCATAATCAGTTTTTCACGGTAAAACCTCGCCGAAAAAGACCACTGACGGGAACGGTCAAAGCAGACACGTCACAATCATTAGACCTGATTTTGTGGGTGGAAGTGTATCATTTATGAAAGACTTTGAATCCGTTCGGTGCCATCGTCTGCAAACGCTCCTAGCGTAGGGTCATGGGCTACTTTCATACAAAAATCGCGATGTGAAAAAGAATAAACCAACCTCGGAACCAAGGTTGGTTTTCAGGCTTCGTTCTGTTTTACTGGTGAACGCCGCTTTTAAACCAAATGTGATTGACATTATGAATACTATGTCACAGTATCCATGCAAGAATCAGCCACAAAGTTACGTTACTTACTTCCCATATTTGAAGGAAGAACATCGTGAAACATTGAGCCAGATTTGGAGGTATCCATATAAAGCACCAATTTATTGAACATTTTTTTGAATGCCGAGCCTATCGTTAAATTCCATGGCATACAACTGTCGCAAGACAAGAACACAATTCGTCTGAGCTCGAGGTGCGTCACCCAATGAGTCAGTCACCAGCGATGTGGATCCCTTGGTTGAAGAATGAGCCACGTTATGTCCTGACTTAGTGCGGATAAATCAGGCTGTTAGTTGGTCGCTCGTGGTCGAACGGATATACCTTGCATTTATCAAGCGCACCACTGAGGATTCCCAATAAGAATGGAACAGTTGCACATTGCTTCTCGGCTTTTCATCACAGAGTGGTTTCACATATATAAATACAAAAACTTCATACCATTAAAGATTCGTGCTTTCGATCTAGAAGCGAAAAGCACTATGTTGTCCTGTCATGAAAGATTCGGCTGACGTGCTCTTCGTTTCTTCTACGCCTCATGAGTTACCGTATACGACCGGATTCTTTGTTTATGTTATCAACGTTTGCTCAGCAGTCTGAATGAATTGACCACAAAACATGTGAGTCGAACGTCCTCAAACTTCGTAAAACAAAAACTTTAGGACGGTGTCAATTGAAGCACCTCGATTATGCCTATCAAACTTGAATTCCAGGGGATGTCACACTTGAGAGTGACGTACGGCTATCGTAGCTTGTCTACCATTTCTCGGTTGATCTGTGGAACAGCTTGACTATAAACCCTCTTTTATAAAGAATTACCGATGTCATTGCACCAACATGTTTACGTAAGCCTTTTCAATGCTTTCACTATTTAGCCTCTAATTAAAGAACTGCGTGCTTAAACCGCGGTTACCAAAATTAACTAAACTTACTACTTCTCCTCGAAAGACAATAACGGAAGTGGCACCATGGCCAGAGAAGAAGATGAACACGTTGTCATTAGGACCGCCGTTAATGGGCGGAAATTGCAAAGTAGTCCTGAAGAGAATCTTATTGGCAGGCGCTCCCACAAAGAGGGGGCACAAAAAAACCCAGCGGAAATGGAAGCACTGCGAACACGAAGTTTAGAATATTGTTTGTGCACGCTGATGGATATAACCAGTACCTGAATTAGCTTCCAATAGTCTGCTATTTGCATGGCCACGTGAATACGGGGATGAACGTACGATTCGTTGGACGTCTGTTGGTTGATTCTTATGGTTTTCAATGTATGAAGATGGTTGTAAGCAGTGTTCCACTTTAGCAGGTCTTATCCTCTTGCCGTTGGAACGGTCACATGCAGCTCTTTTGAATAGACGTCTTTTTGGCATGATTACATCTGTTTAGCGAAATGTCCACATGATATATACAGTTCTGAGGAAAAATACTGTAACTAAGTTGAGGCGATCCTACATTTCAAACTTGGGTATGCAAGAAGCCATATGTTTTTAACTAAATCTGATCTGGAAATGTTCTGTTTCCGGGTCATTGATCAGAGCGGTGTTCATCAGTTCTCTGCTCGAAATGATCAGCTTACGAATGTTTCATCACCAACCAAAGTGACATCATTATTGAGTGGTTGGGTTGGAAGTTACTCCATACCTGTCTGATATTATACGGCTCTGCCTGGCTGGAGGGACCTTACGCCTCTAGAGGTCGAAATAGTCTATTTGGAACTGTGCTGCGTTGTGGCTGGCACCCCCTTGATTTCATTGCTGCTTCAAGTAGTTTCTGTCTGAAGATATTTGGTCAAGATCTGATTGATCGGTTACCGATTTCTAATGTGTTGCATTCTGGCTTTCCACATTCGATTGGCTCCCCTCCGACTTCTGGTGTCCTTAGTACATTTTGATTGGTTGTTTCTGATTTGCAGTTGTTCTGCAGCCAGATTTGTCGGAGTTTATTTTCGCGAATGCTCTTCCAGTTAATAAAACGTTTTTATTGTGCAGATGAGTTTATCACCTTTGAACACCTATTCTATAGACCAACAATTTCCTTTCCTATCCCTACTAACTACAGACGGCATCGGATAAACTGAATTTCTCCCACTTAGTATTGAAAAAGCTTTCAACCTCCTTTCTGTTCATTTACTTATTAGATCTGTTAAGTTATCTGCTTAAAGCATAATAGGAAACTTGAAGGGCACAATTTGACGGAAAACTATAACATGGAGCTCACTTAAGATGATTTTTTGAGGACGTTATCCAAATTTCAAAATACAAACGATCCGGCCCATAACATATCAAGTAACATAAAATATCTCTTTTGAATATTTTGAACGAAATATTCTGTCTGAAAATGTAGTTTTGCAGAAAACTAGCTTGCTGCAAAGGGATATTATGCACGTGACCAACAGCGGAATTTTCATACTTTGGGCGACAGCAAAGAAAGTGCTACACATCTATTGCCTCTTGGCGGGTGAGTTCAGAAATGAGTGTTTGTCAAACTGAGTGCCTTAGAAGGGTGAATGCGAGAACCTCCCTACTCCAAGTTATTGTGTGGACCTCAGAATAAATCCTATATGAAAAGCTATCAGATCACCGCCTTGTAATGGCGACCGAACAGACCACGAGGCACTAAATTCCCGGAAGCATACCTGATTGTCAGCAGACCAACTAATACTTAGCTCTTAAAGAAGGCTCAACAATCGGTATTTACAAAAACTTTTAAATCAAGGGGTTTCTTCTCAAGTGCGACTGAAAACGACTGGCTCACGGAAGCGGGGATTATGTACGAAAACTTCCATCTCAGGTCCATGTACGAAACACCGGTTCATCAGGGAACACGCAGAAAGAGCGGCTAATTACGGATTTCGCCACAATTGCAAATCCAAAGTGTGCATAAACGGCTGAATGAGAGACCTATGGTTTGCGAGTGAACAGATATTTGCCTGGTTTCCTGGCTTGTTTCTGTATGCCGACGCTTCCCATCTCGTCATGTGTGGGTCAAAAGGCGGGAGTGGAAATTTGAAAGAAAAACCGTGACATTAGCAACACAAATTGGCAAGACAGGTTCTCTAAAAGCTAAGAGTATTATGGGTTAAACTCGAAAGAGAGTTGAGCGGCCGCCATAAACTGAGTGCCGCCAGTGGAATGGGATTTCGGTCATCCAAACGACAGTGTTTATTTGCGTTGTTCAACGCCGTGAGTTAAAACGACTCCTAAATCCGAGGAAACCAAAACCCGACACAACGATGTGCAAGACCAGGCAGATATTTGATCACTCACAACTACGCATATCTGAATATCTCCGAAACTTGTTAACAGCGGCGATTGATGCCTGTGATTTAATAATAACCAAAAGCCAGAAATGGAAAAACCGGATCCCCCTAGAATGAGGCCTACTAGAAGAGACTATGTACCAAGATACTTTCGAGAATACTAAACACGCATTTCGAAAATCCGAGGACGGTTACCTGCAAAACTAGTATTCTAGATGTTATCAGCAAGTGCATCAACAATATCCACTTCCGCGCCAACTCACATTTTCAGCACCTTCTTCATGTTGGCTTCAAGTTTCTTATCGCCTTTTAATACTTTCAAGAAGTTATCCCGAGTGACATCCTAAAACAAGTGAACATCCGTGACCAATTATAGGAGTGACAATGGTGTTGTTACACTCACTCTCTTCCCAGAGACCATCCAACTTCACCCTAATAATTAATTGAAATCTAAGATGTGCCCTTCATCTTCAGTCATGTTTTATTCACGATGATCGTTGTGGGCTGAAAACTGAATAAATCGATTGCTGGTCCGTTTATCAAGTATGGCATTTGGATTTACTCCTCAAGCCTAGGTTTGGTAGTTGAGTTGGACGTGGACTACCTGGAAGCACTATCAAGTAACACTAATTTAACTCAGTAGCTAGAGAATGCAAATTACGTTTGAAATAACCGCTGTTTTCAAGTGAGTATCACCCATCAGCACTCAACTGAATCACAGTTGAGTACCTCTTGTCTGTGATATTTTTTAGCTGAAGTTGCTGTCCTGGACACGCTGCTTGGTTTCGTTGGTGCATCACTCGGGATATTACAGGACACTCCCCGGAGAAACTTTTCGAACACTGTTGGTCTTCGTGCACATTTTGCGATTCTTTTGACAAGCACGCTAACCTACTTGATAGGCTTAAAGCAGAAGGTTGAACTCGGTCATGGGCAGCCTGAGAGTTCTCTGGACCTTACGACTATTGTTTGTCCTAGTGGGTTGACCATTCCGTACTATGGTGAAACTGATTAATCTGCCCTACGGTTTGTATTGTGTTTTCACCCACGGTATCATTTTGATTGCACATTGTGTTGCACAGTGAACTGATGCAGGAATTCACTTAATTGCTGCCCACCGGATCACGGACTTACTTTTCCACGGTAGTCAATTTCCACCCCATTGTATACATCTTTGTGCTGGTAATCATGGAACGCTTTGCCTTTAAACGGATTTCTGGAATAAAAAAATGAAAAACGACGATATATATTCTTGGTTGAATGGAAAAAAATGAAACGCTCACAAATTCAGTCCGTACCGGGTTCCCTGGCTTGTTTTGTAATATACATTTTCACGACGATGAGTGTACCTTCTGTCACACATAATAATCGTTTAAGCATAAATAATCCTACAATGATCCATGTTGAGTGCACAACAAAGAAAATTACCAATTTGTTGCGAAAATGTAATTCTTTTGGTTAAATTGACATTCAAACTCCATCAGTGTTAGATTTCATGACCATATCCCTATTTCGTGCCCGTGAATGTAATTCGAGGGGACAGGAAGCGAGATGGCTCAGGTGGATAAAGCGCGAATATACTGACCAGAAATTCCGTGATTCCAACCTTTCCTCCGACTCCCGAGCTCTTCTGTCTAGGCTTGGGAAACATGGCAATAGTCTAGACCTCGTGCAACCTTCGCATGTCATGGCAGCCAGGCACCTTTGAGATGCTACAGCCGAAAGAACGACTGAGCAATAACCGACTTAAGATTGTTACCGTCTCCGCGCATGAATAAAATTTTAATGCTTTCAGGAGGTCATTTCTCCTCCCGGATGCACGACGGCTGGTTGATGCACTGAAACGTCATTTAGATATCATTTTTTTCATTTTAGGCTACGGCAACGAGTACTCAAACGAGTACACATCAGTATCATCGTCATCGTCATCATCGTCATCATCATCAGAATGTGATATTTGCATCAGGGTTCTATGGCGTCTAGAGTCATGAAAAGTCATCAACAAACAGAAAATCTCATAAGACATCTGAAGTGACACATGATACATATGAAATTCAACAAGTGTATACAAGAAAAATATGACACAACAATGAGACATGTTAAAGCGCGTTGCTGCACCTTATTGTTAGCATAGAGCGAAAATTGTGCGCGATATTTACCTGCGATTGTTTGCAATATCATCGTAGGTGAAAGTGATTACATTCTCCGCTGGAACTTTGTTTTTACGCACCAACTGGTACGCGTGGAAAACGTCTGCCTGAAAGAGGACACAAATGACACCTGAATTTGGGATAACAGGCAGAGGGATGCATAGAGCCCAAAGGAGCCAAACAGAGTGAAGTCAAGCGGATGTATTATCCCGAAAACAGGAAGCATGATTCTACTCTGGAAGGGCATTTGTGAACCAAAGTTCTACATCCATCCGTGTCCAAACAACAACCTGCTCTCAGAATCTGTACGAACTTGGTATCCCTTGATATGGAAAATACGTCCGAATCTCCCGTTCGCTTGAGTTCCAGAGAAATAGCCACATTACGTCGAAAATCATGTGGCAGTAAATTGTTATCCACTGAATCTTAAGAATAAATACAGACGCACAAATTATGTGTAACATTTTCAGTACCATTCTCATATAACTCCATGCAAATGGTAGACGAGCGGGGAACGAATTTGACCAAGACGTATTACTGTATGATTATTCCAAATAAACGCTACAGGATCTCACGAAGTTTTATAGATTCCACCGCTTACATTCCCAGCAATCTCGTACTTTCACCGTATCAACCAATGTTGTTGGTACGTCAGTGGACTTTTTTGAGTTTTCTGAGTCCTGGTTCTTACAACAAGTCACTCTAGGCTACGGTATTGCGGAGCCCTGGAGCGCTACTCTAATATAATGAAGCTGAAATGTCGGGACAGATGATCAGTGGTGGCTAAAAAAACCATCGAATTCATGTTTTATACAACAATATACCTCCCACTCATAGGCCGCGATTTTTCGTAACATACCGCAACAATAAAAACTTATGATGGACGAATGTCGGATTCCGATTGACGTGAATCACACTATGCACTCAGCAACATCGGAATTTAATAGGACCGGAGAATCGACCCTACCCGAACTAAAATATCTTCATACGACAAGGAAATACGGAATATGAGTACATTAGTGTGCCCATTAGTTGTGGCTAATGTCCACCGCATTTTTGAGTGAAATATCACAATAATGTAAACAACAAGGGGACAAGACACAATTTGGGGAACATTATTGTAAACTTGCACTTTAACAACCCTTTTTACGGAATTAAAATGAAATTTCGAGCCTCAAGCCTACAAAAACCTCACAGCAACCTACTTGATATCGATAATTGTTCCAGGTGTTGGTACCAGCGACTAGGACAACCCAGGTCTTTGACGGATTATCGTTGAAGATGGATGACCAGTTGTGGACACCGATGGCTTCCAACCATGCAACGTGGTCGATGCAGAACAAGAACGCAATAAGAAAAGAACAACGGATTATCATATCCAGGTTTACCTGAAGCTCCATGTGCCTGGCATTTTATACTGTGCGTTTCACGTGAGTCGATGATTGCATTACAAATGTATGGGGACAGTGAGAAAAAAGTTATCCACCACAATTCTAATAGGTCTGCGGTACAAAGTTTATGCTGATCAAGGTATGATCGACCATTTTGATCAGCTATTTCAATGACTGATCATTTGTGCAAACTTATTCCAACAAGATGTGCACATTGATGATTTGTGCTGTTTTCTAGGAATTTGCTGAGCAACCATGCGTTTCAGGCAGTACTGTGTAGCACCCTGAGTCTACAAAATTGCTTTCACGTATCTGCTGACTAAATGAGCACCTTTAAAATCCTTTGGTCCACAGGGACATTAATGCGGATTTTTGCATCAAACCGTCATAGTAAAAACGTGTTTCCCAGTTGGAAATTTCCCAACCATTTCACGATATCAGTGACAGGGAGTAGGCTTGCTGCGGAGTAATTTATTACAAAATACCAACTGACCAGTTACAGACTATTGCACAGGAAGGCACAAATCTCATATCCATCATAATTAAAATAATTGAATATCTTACTGAACGTTCCTGGATTTTCATTGTGTGTTGCTCAAGTCCAAGCTAATGGTACAAATCGAGTCCACAAATTGCGCAAAGATACCCATTTTCAAGCGAATGTACAAGAAGAGAACACTTTGCTCTCATACCTGCCCCATTTGAAGTATCACAGTTACACACATCCATCATTTAAAGGTCGTTCGCATGCCATTGCTTCTCATTTACATCCGTCATGTCGGGTTCGGCAACATATCTAGTCGGCCGCCTTTTTGGTGTATTATACGGCGTATGAATCTGCGTCTTATTTACTCTTTTCGATCCCCGGCCATCTTGTATCGTATAGATGTTCAACAGGCCGTCGGTAACGACAAACGGACCCCGACATTGACCGCCTAGCTTTCAAAGGACCCTGGTCCACTACTTCCGGGATTCTGGTGATCCTTCTATTTCAATTTCGTTCCTATGGGGAATGTTCACACCTTCCTACTTGCCGTTTTCTGCCTAGTATTTTTTAGAACGGTGGTTAACTTTTCTTGAGCTCTCCTCCCTTCTTCCTCTAGCTGCACCGGAAACAAGCGTGTGGCCGTCCACAAGCCAATTTCAGTAGCATCATCGTTACAAACTTTCACCCTTCAAATGTCGTTCCCGTGCAACTGACTTCTATTTACCTTGGTCAGGACGGCTTCTTCAGCGGTGTCACCGGGAATGGACCCGTGAAGTCCACGGACCACAATTCGCCGTTTTCTGGGGCAGCAATATTTTCCAAGGAGTGGATTGCTCCTGTCGTGTCCCTTCCACTATTTGGCATCGCCAACACGAAACCAGATTATCCATCACCTTACCTCTCAGGCCGGGACAGCAGGCAATCTGCCAAAGTATATGCCATCCCATGCCATTCGACGATAAGCTTTCGTCTCAAAATGCTAGGTTTCACGGGTAGCACAACATCGGAATCAGTGGCGTTGCAGCAAATTGTGCCAGCTTCATTCGGACTCACCCAGTCAAAGCGATTCTTAAGCGTTTCCGATTTTTTGTCTCCCTCTTCGTTCTCAAAGCTCATTTCATCTAACAGAGCGTTTGCAACAATTTGTAAAACAGGATCGTGCCGCTGGAGTTGCTCCAACCTTCCGGGATCCAGTTCGACGACGAGAGTATTGGCTCAATTCATGATCTTGAGGGCCTCATATTCATGCTCTGTTATTGAAAGGCAATCGGATAAATTGTTCTCCTTTCCTGGCACGTGCTGCATTGTGAGTTGCACTCTTTCAGTCGCGCTGCCAATTTTTTGGCAGCGGGCTAACTTCTCTGTGACCCGCTTTATGACCCAGCGGTGTCATCGACTTTCGCGTGAGCTGTGACTTGGCTTCATTTATCCACAAACGAGCCTCACGGTAGCGCTTGTATAACCGTCAAGCTTGATGGCGCCATACCTTGTCACCGGGGCGGTCGGCCGGCTTGTCGAACTCCGCTGCAACAAATTAAATCGCGGATGCCCAGTCCATCTTCCATGAACCTCTTCTGGCAGCATACAGTGTCGCCTTTGTCCGACCCCATGAGGAGAATCTCCAGCGCCTTGAACTTACACCGGTCGGTCTCCAGCCCGGCGGCCTCTGTGGCCTCCTCAAAATCCCTCAGGAAGTATTGAACATCCACATCCTCAAAGGGTTGTGGCCACGGAAACTTGATCCGTATATTGGCCACGGCGCCAACTCAAAGGAAGACTGCCTTCCATGCAGGTGGTTTATTACGAACTACCAACTGACAAGTTACAGACTGTTGGACAGGAATGTAGACCTCTCCTGCGCAACTTACTGAGAATAAATGAACATTTATCTTCACTTGAACTCGTCATGCTGAACGTTTCTGGACTTTCATTGAGTGTTTATCAAGTTTAAGCAAATGGTACAAAGCGAGTCCACAAATTCCGCAAAGATCTCATTTTTCAAGCGAATTTACAGGAGGAGTGCATGTAACTCCCATGCCTGCCTCATTGGTAGTATCACCGTCACACAAGCGATCCATGAGTATATCGGAGAAAGAATGGGTTTGTAAGATGACTGATACGTTCTTTTGATACGTCCTTACTCGTTGAACCTGTGGAAAATACGTGACTATGTGATTTGGTTACTGTGATTGAAGGATAATTGGCGCATTATCCAGTCTAACTGAGAGCTAATCGCACTACTGATCAGCTATACTTGGTCCAACATATACCTGGTTGTTCGGTAGGCGAATTAAAGAGGGTTTCCTCTAATAAAATGCAACAAATTATTTAAAAGTTGGGCAAAATACGTTCCTTTGAAAGCTACGGCACATCAGAAGTCTTGGCATGCATAACATCTCCTGATTCGATACAGCCCAGCATGAACTGTGTCTCGGAGTTCCCTTCTTCCGGCTTGCAAAAGCCAGTTGACGTCGAGCAATTTTTTTCATGTAACACCATACTACGAGTTATATTATTAAAAAGTCCATCACCAAAATACCAACTCAGTGGGATTTCCTGATTTGCCTGAATATTTATGTATCTAAGTTTGGTGCGAGTTGGAACACTTCAGTATGTAACGGATGTCGAAGTCGGGCCATAGAACCGATGTTCAACGGTCGTTCGACTAAAGACTCACTCGTCCACCTCCGCCGGCAACAACTGGGAAACTCTATTATTTACGAGAAAACCAGCCCAACCATTGTCTCGTTGGCTGGATATCAAGTCACAAGCGGAGGAACTTATCGCAAAACAGTAGGCAAAAGAAACACCAATTTGCATATTGTCTGGTCACCAGTAATTCTACCTAGGTGTTCGTGCGTTGTTACATCCTTGAGCATCCGGACGCACCGTAAGATGGAAATCCATCTTTAGCTCCGGCAAATCTCGCGAGTCTCTTGCTGTTCAGCTGGACTGTACTGGTGTTGTTGACAAATATCAGTCAGGATTATAACTTATTTCAGTGTTTACTCGATGGATTTACGTGGACAATAGTTCGTACTTGTGCTCTCGTTCCGCAAATGAACAAGTAACCACAACGTCTACGACCTCTTTGGAGGCACCATAACCAATATAAGCTCCTTTCTGCCGAAGCTCATAGCTAGCGCGTCGCCCAATTTGGACTCGCCTAACGAAGGACCAAAGAAATGAAGAATGACAAGTGTGCCCAGGCTGACAGTTAGTTCACAGGTGTTTCACAGTCATCGGCATAGGGTGCCACATCACCGTGGAAGGCCAATACATAATGAAACATTTGCAATCCCACTTTTTGGCTTGGCTGACAGATCAGCAACCAGATGACGAATAACATGTGAAGTCACCCGAGTTGGCGATGTCTCGACATGTTTTCAGTGCTTGTACCGGTCAGAAACAGGCATCACAGAGGCGCTCGTATCGACATTTGTGCTCTGTCTAATTGCTTTTAAAAGCTTCCATTTTTCGCAGCGGTATTCACTTAAGTTCACCTAGCACACACTCTCTCACAGCACTACAGTTGAACATAATCTGCTGAAATTCAAATTTGCAAAATAGCAGTTTCAATATTGTGAACATAATAACAATAATACTAATATTCAGCTTCAGAACGGTTTTGGTATGCAGCCACCAAATTCCCCGAGGGAAACACAAGTGCTCAGCAATCGCCGGGGAGCCCAAGCCTGGACAGGATTAGTCGATATGCCGAGGCTGGATTCGAAACACGGTCAGTAATTTCTGGATATAAGCACTGAAACATCCTGGTCTCCTAAGCCAAACTGAACTCCTGAAAGCAGATTTCTACGGCGGAGTTCAAGTTCAACCATTTTCGTTGAGAGAGCGTTATAACATGTAAGCGAGTGACATCCGTACCTACGGTAACTTGCAGCGTCGGAAACGTGGGTTATTTTCAAACAAGAATTGTAAACATCTCTGACCGATGCGACAAGTTTCAGTGCTACGAATAAACACAGTCAACTTTTATCACTTTACACAAAAGCTTTCTATGTTCAAACCAAAGTCTCATGAAGTCTCGGATGTGTAACTACTGGTCGGCCATGGTTACTGCTCAACCAGATGACGTCTCTTTGTTAGTATTCCTTTCGTCTAATTTTGCCACCTTTCTGGAAGAGAGTGCAAGTTGATACGAGAGAGCCTTGAGTCTGTACATGGACTTAACCCTCCGAGAATTTGCTATGAGCCCGTGTATGTTGCGCGGGGCATCGAAATATCAACTGAATCATCGTAAACTACTTGCAATGTTTGAGTAGGTAAATAAGTGAGTCAAATTGGTTAATCAGTTTCGCATGACATCGTGTTTTGGAAAATTACCGTAACTACATCGGTGACTGCAGCGAGATAAGCTATCAAAAACATTTAATGTGCTACATTTTTTATGTGGTGTTGGTTAAGTACAGCACCGCTGAAGATCTGCTATCGTTATCGCTTTGGGGCAGTTATATTTGGAAAATATCATGCTGCAACTTGGCGACGCAATAACAAAAAACTT